CCACCGGGTCTGGGACTCGAACCGCGGTCGACTATGTGGGAGTCCAGCGACATAGCCATTACGCTAACTGCTGGTCCCCTAGAATAAATAATTCTTAAAAAAAAAAAAAAGCCAAACAACCACCACCAAAAAACCAACTATATGTCTCTTCCACCTGTTGAGTTACCTTAGGTTTGCAGATTTCAGTTTCCCTTTGAAAATGTCAGGGCTTGGTCCAGCAGGTGACATGGTGGTTAGGGTGCTGAACTCACACATGGTCAACCATGGTTCGAGTCCTGGACCTGGCAGCTTCCTTTCTTACTTTCTCTCTCTCCTTCTCTTTCTCTCTCTGGTGGGCATACATGCCCTGTAGCAAATTAAAAAAAATAATAATAAATAAAATTTAAAAAAAGTTTAAAAAAATGTCAGGACTTCCTGTTCATTCTAGCTAAGGGGAAATTACTCCAAAGGTCAGCAGGACGGGTTTTTTCATAGCAGAAGTCAGTTTTTTTTTTTTTTTTTTTACTGAAGTGACCTCCTTTGGCCTTAAACTGATGCAGGGAGAGAGACTTTGCTTACATGTTAGTTCCCAGTTTCAGGACTCGGTCTCCATAAAGTTCAAAAGACCCTTCTTGGGCTGCAGGGACATAGTTCCCGCCGTGCTTGAACTCTGCTGTCTTCACTTCCTCGCCTTTGCTGTTGAACGTTCTGTAATACAAAGTGTGACATACGGGATGCTCTCCAGGCCTGAGCAGTCCCGAGGGCGTCTTTATATACAGGACAGAAAGAGGTGTCGCAGTCCTTCGGGACAGAGCCGCTGGCTGTGGGAAGGCAGGGCTGCACCAACAGTGCCCCGCACACAGGGGGCGCTGTTCTGGGACTCGTCTCCTGGGAGCCGTTTACAAAATGCGGACTGGGTCCCGGAGCAGCGGGCGGCTCGCCTCACGCCCATCTGCTAAGTGACAAGGCCAGGGTTAGGGCTTCCCTTCTTGCGGAGCCGTGCTGAGGGGTCGGTGGGGAGTGTGTGTCCTGGCTCCCCGAACTCTGCCCTGACCGTCACTGTCGAGAAATCACCTGATGAGTCCGGGGACTTCAGTTCCCCAGGGGACGGGCCCGGACACCGGCAACACAAAGCGGCCGTTAGAGTTCTGAACTTTGTCCTTTAGAAATATGGACACCTGGAAAAAACCACAGGTATCGTCATTTTCCCCGGTTTGTTGTCACAGACGGAAACATCCTGGCTGGACAGCGCGGCAGTGTGGGTATTACCACAGCACCACGGCTGGCCCCTCGGGGTTATGACAGCAAGACACAGAACAAAAGGTCGAAGTGTTTTATACAAACGGAACTGCTGAGCCTCACAGCAAAACGTCCTCCTTACCCCCATTCTAAAGATGAGGAGGCTGAGGCGAGAGGGCCGTGACCTGCCCAGAGGGCACGAGCGGCAGGGCCAGGACTCGCCACCAGGCCACCACCTCCGCCCCTGGCTCCCTGCTAACTTCCATGCGGCCGAGACCCTTGGGCTCCAAGGAAGCTCATTATCACTATTTTACAGATGAGGACAGGGCAGCTCGGCGGTCACCTCCTCCAGATCAGCCAGGATCCCTCCAGATAGGCTGAGGAGTCGGACCCCCGCGTCTGACCCAGACAGAATGCTCTGATCCACGTGCTGGGCCAGTGAGAAGGGGGGCCGCAGCGGGGGGCTCCAGATAGCACTGAGGGTCGTCTGAGTGACGGCACACCCGTGGTACTGTTCGACTGCACGGGGAGGCCTGCATGGAGGAGACCACACCGGGGTGGGGTACTCTGGAGGTTTTAGTCACCCGTGCTTTAACCCCATGAGACTAGCGGTTCATCGGTTTACGGGTCTTAGCTGCCTCGTGTAAAAGGAGCGATAAACCCGCCCGTCCCTGGGCTCTAAAGTCCGCCCCGTTTGACAGTAGTATCACCACGCATAAGTACTTAGGCTGGCCCTGTGCCTCGTGGTTCAAGGCGCTGCATCCCACGTGGCCAACTGCGCGGTCTGAATTCTGGCCCTGGCGTCTGGAAACACTGCAGCCCACGTGCACTGGGTGGGTACTGGGGACGGAGGGCGGTGACCAGGGCTGCTGGGGGCGCTTTCCTCCTCTCCCTCCATTGTGCTCTAGAGAACACACGCGTCCTCTAGCAGAATTACAGAAAAGAGCACGCGAGTGAGGCAGGGAGAATGCAGAGTGGTAAGAATGTGAGAATCAGCAGTTTGGGGAGATGATGTCAGACTGTCTAGACTCGAACACCAATAGGGCCACTTTTTTTAATTTTTAAAGAATTATTTATTTGTTAATTTTTTGAGAGGTTTTTGCTATAGGGCGAGTATACTTGCTGGACAGAGACAGAAGTGAGAAATCACCCCCCCGGGGGGATGGCCACTCCGCAATCCCTTCTCCTCCACTCTCCTCTCCGGATCATGGGCACGCACCCAGCATGAGTTTCAAGTCACCGGGTCCGGGACTTGAACCGTGGTCGATTATGTGGGAGTACAGTGGTGTAACCACTATGTCATTGGCTGTTCCCATTATTGTTATCTTTTAATTTGACCAGAGAGAAACAGGGGAAAAGTGAGAAAGTAAGCTACCAGGTCCGGGACTCGAACTACTGTTGGCTTCCGTGGGAGTCTAGTGCCTCAAGCACCATGCCACTTGGCCCTTTCTTTTTGTTTTTTAATTGCCAGAGAACACGTGTACTTGCCAGAGCGAGGACAGAAGGCAAGCACCACGATGGGTATGGGCACGCTGCAGCCCTTCTCCTCCACTTCTCCATCCTGTGTCCCCCCTCTCCACGTTCTTCTGCACTTCCCCTCTTCTCTATTCCCAGAGTCCCTCGGAAAGAGGCCTTGCAGGCACTGGGGTGCTGGAGAGCGCTCTGAGCATTCATCTTCCGGGGGTGAGGGCCGTGCAGTGAGTGAGGGACTTAACGGCTCCCGGAAGCTGGCTGAGCACCTGGCGGTCAGGTCTGCAGGGAGCGGTAAGTCCAGGGCTTCTCGGCTGACGCTGTGGCAGATGAGGGGCTGATGGTGGGAGACCGAGACCCTGAAAGTGAGGGAGAAGTGGGCCGCGGGCTGGGGAGGGGGTGTGCTGCGTGAGGCCAGCGCCATTGGGAAGGCTCTGGATTGGCATCCACCCGGACACGCTGGGTAACCTCAGGATTGTGGGTCATGGAGGGTCATGTGAGAACCCTGTTGGGGGAGCCCTTCTATACCCGCCCCCTCTGGGGAGCACATGCCAGGCCAGGTGGCGGTGAGTGGCAGCACACCTGGACCCACACAGGAGAGGTCCCAGCGTTGCGTCCCAGGAGCTCCCTAAGCATGCTGGGCACACGTGTGCATACATGACCTAGGCTGGCTGAGTGTGGGATGCACCGTGGCATGCAGACCCTGGTGAGAGTGCCCGCCTCTCTGTCCCTCACCCTTTCTCGCGATGTCTCTGTCATAGAAGACAGGTTGGGCTGTTGGAAAAGTCATGATGCATTTTTACATAGAAAAACACAGAAAAATACATCATGACTTTTCTGACAATCCAATAAATAAAATTAAGAAAAATAATCGTCAGGGCCGGCAGGTGATGTCATGGTTAAGGCACTGGATTCCACATGGCCAACCTCGGTTCGAGTCCTGGGCCCGGTGGCTTAAAACTCACACTGGGTATATGCGCATGCATGCCCCAAAGCCCGAGTGAATGGACGAGAAGTGACTACGGCATGGCCATTCTCTCAGTGGGTAATTTCTCACTCTTCTTCCCTGTCTTTCTCTCCAGCGAGTGTATACACCCTGCAGCAAAAACAACAACGAAATCATCGAGGGGCCGGCGGGTGGTGTGGTGGTTAAGGTGCTGCACTCCACGTGGCTGTCTGAGTTGGAAGTGTGTATGCGTGTGCCCGCAGTCCTGAGAGAACAGAGAATGAACTGTGGTGTGGTCATCCTTCCTGGGGGATGATTTCTCACTTTCCCTCTCTTGCTGTCTCTGGCAAGCGCACATGCTCTTTGGCAAAAATCTAAGAAAAAAAGGGAGGGCCAGCAGGTGGTGTGGTGGTTGACGCGCTGGACTCCCACCTCGCCAGCCACAGTCTGAGTCCTGGACCTGGAGGCTGGCTTTCTCACTTCCCTCTCCCTCTCTCTCTCTCTGGTCAAATTGGAAAAGTAGTAATAATAAATCAAATCAAATCAATTAAATTATTCTTGGAAAAAAATACACACACACATACTCCTCATCTAGAGGCTGCCCTTTCTGCCAGCTCTCCCCTTCGAGCTCTGGGTTTGCATGTTTAACTGCCCACCTGACAGTGCTCCTTGGGTGTCTAGCAGGCAAATCAAGTTTAAATAGAACTATCCTGTCCTGCCCAAGGGCACCTCCCTCAGTAAGTGGCACCTCACAGCAAGCAAACACCTGGCAGCTGCTCCTCATTCTTCTTCCTCCGCTCCCCACATCCCACCTGCTCCCTTTGCCTGGATTTCCAGCAGTTTCCACCACTGTCCCACCTCTACCCTGTCCCGTGTGGCTGATCTTCCAGAACATGGATCGGAGCGTGTTACCTCTCACTGCTCCCAAGGATCTTTTGTTTACTCCTAGAATACATGTCTTTTTTCCTTTTCTTTAAGAATTATTTATTTGTTGGACCAGCAGTTGGCATAATAGCTATGTTGCTGGACTCCCATGTGGTCGACCGTGGTTCGAGTCCCGGACCTGGTGGCTTAAACTCATAACGGCTGTGCGTGCGTGCCCAAGATCCCAAGAGGAGAATGGAGGAGAAGGGACTGCGGCATGGCCATTCCCCCTGGGGGGTGATTGCTCGCTTTCTGTCTCTCTATCTCTCTCTGTCTCTCTGGTGAGTGCACGTGACCTATAACAAAAACCTCTCTAAAAATTGTTATTTATGTATTTAATTCTATATTTTGTTGTTATTATTTTTTAAAAATTGAACCAGAGAGATAGACAGGAAGGGAAAGTGAGACAGTAAGCTGCCAAGTCCGGGACCGAACCACAGTTGGCCATGTGGGAGTCCAGTGCCTTAACTACCGTACCACCTACTGGCCCCAAGAATAAACTCTTTCTGGGACCAGCAGTTAGCGTAATGGCTATGTCACTGGACTCCCACGTAGTTGACTGCGGTTCGAGTCCCAGACCCAGTGGCTTAAACTCATGCCGGGTGTGTGTGTGTGCGTGCCCAAGATCCCGAGAGGAGAATGGAGGAGAAGGGATTGTGGCATAGCCATCCCCCCTGGGGAGTGATTTCTCGCTTTCTATCTCTCTGTCTCTGTCTGTCTGGCGAGGGCACGCCCCCTGTAGTAAAAACAAAACAAAACAAAACAAAAAAAAAACAAAACCTCTCAAAAAAAAAAAAGAATAAACATCTTTCTAGGGCCTATCGCTGAGGGGCTAGGTAGGCACCGTTTCTTTCTTTTAAAGAGGATTTCTTTCTTCTTTAAAAAATTACTTATTTTAATTTTATTTATTCAGTCATTTAGGTTGAGCAGAGAGAGAAAGAGGGGAAGTAAGAAAGCAAGCCACCAGGTCTGAGACGTGAACCATGGTTGTCCATGTGGAAGTATCCAGCACCCTAACCACCATGCCTCCTGCTGACGCGGCACCTGCTCCGACCTGTCAGTGCCTAGGTGACACGTGCTGTTACATTTATTCTGGGCATCGCTCCTGCCCAGGAGATACACCCTATCCACACTGACTTCTTTTCCCTAAAGTGTTTTATTTTTTTGGAGAGGTTTTTGCTATAGGGCACATGTGCTTGCCAGACAGACAGAGACAGAGAGACAGAAAGCGAGAAATCACCCCCCAGGGGGGATGGCCACATCGCAATCCCTTCTCCTCCATTCTCCTCTCGGGATCTTGGGCACACACGCACACGCGCCCAGAGTGAGTTTAAGCCACCAGGTCTGGGACTCGCACTGCAGTCGACTATGTGGGAGTCCAGGGACATAGCCATTACGCCAACTGCTGGTCCCAATAAATAATTCTTAAAAAATGAAAAAAAAAAAGAAGAACGACAGTGGCCTCACGCAGCCTCTGTCCACACCAAGGCCATCCCACGTTTCAGGAGAGCACACCCCGCCTGGCTCCCGGATGATCCATTCTGTATCTGCTTGGGTTAAGCGTGAGCGAAGGGTCTTAGAGCTGTGTTTTCTGGATTTTGTTTCTTGCTTTTAGTTCATTTGGTTTTGTGAACAAATCTAAAAACTGCTGAGAGTACTTTAAAAATGGAAAAATCTGTCTGAGACGTTTCGCTGGTTTCAGAACCTGCAGCTGAGCAGAAAGGCCAGTCAGGGCAGACTTAGAAAACCAGCCCCGGAGTTCCAGAGGGGGCGGCATATTTTCAGGACAGTGATTCCTATTTCTTTCGATGAACATTCTGAGGTTTCGCTGACTGCCCGTTTTGCAATTAAAGCTTAATACATTTTGTGGTTTAATACATTTTAATGATTTTGCTATAGACTTGGTATTAGGGGAGTCTTTTCATTACAATGAGTTTTATCTTGTCAGAACTGAGAAATCAATACAGCTGTTTGTATTACTCTCATCCATAAAATAATGCTCAACAGTGCAGTCTTGATAACAATATAATGCTGAACAGCCAATACTTAGAAATGGACATTTTAAGTTTAATGCAAAACTTAATCTTACTTGTATTTTCATTTTTTAAATTTTAATCGATGACTATTAGAGATCTTAATTTATATGAATGTTGCTACCCCATCCATAGCAAATAAAATCATTCATGAGGGTTAGAAATAAAACTGGTACCCGAGTTGAAATTTGTCTTCTCTGATCCATGAAAGGGCAATGCAGTGATGTGCTAGGCTAACACGCTATTTCCCCTTGCTGTAAAATGTCTTTTCTGGCTAGCTGGTGGCGTGGTGGTGAAGCCGGCTGGATCTCACATGAGATAGCAGGCCTGTGAATTGAAAACACACCGGGCGTGTGTGTATATACAAAACCCCCAGAAGAGAACAGATTGTGGCATGGCTATTTCCCTCTGGGGGGGTACTTTCTTTTTGGGGGGATTTTATTTTTTTGCCATAGCGTATGTGCACTTGCTGGAGAGAGACAGAGAGACAAAAAGTGAGAAATCACCTCCTCCCTAGGGTTGGGGGAGATGGCCACACTGCAATTCCTTCTCCTCTGTTCTCCTCTCGGAATTTTGGACACGCACACACGTGTCTAGAGTAATTTTCAAGCCTCTAGGTCCAGGACTTGAACCACAGCCGGCCACACGGGAAGCCAGTGCCTTAACCACCATGTCACCTGCTGGTCTCTGGGGGGCACTTTCTTTCTCACTTTCCCTCTCTTTCTATCTCTTTGTCTTTCCGATGAGTGCACATGCCCTGTAGCAAATTAAAAAAAGGTTTTTTTCCCCTATTTTTTCTTGTTCTTTATAAAAAACATTTTATTTGTGCATATGTTACACATGCACAGGTACAAAACGCAAAAAGTTCAAAGCATACATAACGGACAAGAAATCTCTCTCCTATCCCTGTCCACACGGCTGCCCATTCCCAGGAGGCAGCCGTGGAGACCGGTTTCTTGCACACCCTTCAAGAAACACTCCAAATGCACTGTGCAAGCTGTCCACGGACACCGCGTATACTGCTTTGGCTAACCATCCCGCAAACTCTGTCAGGTACTATACTTCCCATTTTTCAGATGAGGAGACAAACTCAAGAGCAGTCACTTTTAAAAAATATTGCCTGATGGTGTGTGCATGTTACAGGGAGAGAGAACCCCCAAGTGGGGCCTAGTCATGCCACAAACGCCTTTCTCCCATTCTCCCTTCCATCGGGACCCTAGTCACATGCACACGTCACACATAGACCTGGCCTGTTTGTCAAGCTGCGGGGGCCAGGATTCGAACTGCAGTTGGCCGTGTGATGGACCTGGCTCCCCATGCACAGTGCTTCACCGCTGTGCTTTTCAGGGTGGGCCCACAGAGAGGTCACTTGCCCAAGGTCGTCATGCTGGTGCTGGATTTGGGTACAGACAGAGTACCTGAACCCACAGCCCGGCCTCGCTTTCGCATCGGCAGTTTAACCTACGGCAAGGAACAAGCTCTGTCCAAGAGAGCAAGGGCAAAATTCAGAAACGCAGAAGTGTATTTCTAAAAAAATTGTATTTATTGTCATTACTATTATTATTTTAAAATTTGCTATAGGGCATGTGCACTCATCAGAGAGAGAAAGAGAGAGAGAGGGGGAAAGTGAGAAAGTAAGCCACCAGGTCCAGGACTTGAACCGTGGGTGGCCACGTGAGAGTCCAGCGCCTTAACCACCATGCCACCTGCCAGCCCTCCTAGAAATGTGTGTGTTTTAAACTTTTATTTTAGACTTTTAATCACTACATCACCACAGCCTGTGAAAGGAAGTTTCCCAGCCCGAGACACTGCAGGTCAGCTCAGGTAGAGACGCTGCCGTACACATCACTACCAACAGCGGCCCCCCATTTCCGAGCCCTCCAGTGCCTTTCTGGTTTTCCCCTTGATTCCCTTTCTCTCACCCTCCCCACCTCCCACCTGCAGGACTGTGTTCTTATTATTTTTAAAAATTATTTAACTATTTATTTATTTTACTTTGATCAGAGAAGAAAGAGAGAAAGAGAGAGAGAGAGAGAGAGAGAGAGAGAGAGAGCAAGCCGCCAGGTCCAGGAATTGAAGCGCGGTCGGCCATGTGGGAGTCCAGCACCTTTAACCATCATGCCACCTGCCGGCCCCAGAAATGTGTTCATAAAAGGTGTGATGCAAAACTGTCTGGAGTGGGGGGCAGGCAGTCTACAGTGTGAACACACCCAGACCCGCAGGGAAGGGCCACCCGTGTCCTGGGGACGCCTGCGCACCCTGTGCCCGTCAGGGACACGCGTGTGCCCACGAGCTGGGCAGGCGGAGGTGCGGGTGGGTCACGGCGTGAAGCCCCTGACGGTGCCCGTCTCTCTCTGTCCTTTGTGGAAGAAACAAATGAACGTTGAAAATGCAGGTCCTGGGAAGCAGAAGAACGAAGGTCAGGGAGGAGACTCAAAGGTGATACTGTGATTCTGAGCCCAAGCAGGAACTGGAATGCTGGGCTGGTGTGCGGTGTGGTGGTTAAGGCGTGGGACTCACACATGGCTGTGGTTCAAGACCCAGACCTGGTAGCTTGCTTTCTCACTTTCCCTTTCTCTCTGGTCTAATTAAAATAAATAAATAGACAATTCTTAGACCAGAACAAAATGGAACAGAAAACTAGCACGCTAGTGCTCTCAAAGGAAGCCAGCAAGAGGGGGGCAGGCCTGGCCACAGACATTAGGCTGTGGGTACCCAGGGGCCTACCCGGGGAGAGGTGGAGATGGAGGCCTACAGGGTGGGGTGGGGTAGAGTAGGGGTAGACTCGGGAGTCACAGGCAAAGGAGCTGTAGCCAAAGGGGAGAAGGACCCTGAGAGAGCGGGCTGAGGCTGGGGACACGGGACTGTCTGGGACCGTGAGAGAGGAGGCTGAGGGTGGGGACACGGGGACTGTCTGAGACCCTGAGAGAGTGGGCTGAGGGTGGGGACACGGGGACTGTCTGCAGGGGTGAAGGGAGAGGAGGGGGTGGAGGCGGTGGGATGGGAGGGCAGAGGGCAGGCCAGGGTGGTATGGGGCCGTGGAGGTCAGAAAAGTGAGCGGGGCCGGCAGGTGGTGTGGTGGTTAAGGGTGCTGGACTCCCACATGGGAGAGCAGCATGGGACTCCCAACCTGAGAGCAAGATGTGACAGGAGAAAACTGTCCCCAAGAAACTCACACGGAAACTGGGAAGGAGTGTGACACGCTGTCTTCCGTGGCCCCCTGACAAAGCGCGGAGGTTTATTACCCTCATGGAGTCAAGCCCCGAGATCTCACTAGCCCGTCTCTGGCTTGCTTGCCCAGAGGCTGCAGGGTGTCCCCCGGCACCCAGACACTTACTCGGATGTGCAGGTCTTGGAAGAAGATGAGCAGCGTCTGCCGGATCAGCTGGAAGTCCCCCGCAGAGAGGCTCCCATAGATCTGCAGAGACAAGCAGAGAAGTGGGACGAGTATGTGGCCAGGCAGGCAGGGGCTGCTCAGCGACAGGAGCCAGAGGGCTCGGCAGCAGGGAGCCCACTGCCCTGCCACCGCTGATGCCACCCCACCCCATATACCTACGGAGACTGTTCCCAAGCTTAGCGACACAGCGCCCGCCGCTCCCTTTCAGCAGGGAGGAAGCGTCTGTGCCCTTATCACGCGTTCTACTCCGGAGGCAAGTCAGAGGCCTCAGGGCCACGTCGCCTATTAAATCACCCAAGGGCATACTTGGGGAGTCTCTTTCTAATCGCCAGGTGGGCAGAAGGAGAGGGAGAAACGGGGCACGGCCATGGCGCAATCCCCTTTCCTCCGTCTCCCCATCCGGGATTCTGGACACGCACACACAAGCACTGGTGTGTTTTCCAAACTCCAGGGCTGGGATTTGAACTGTGCTTGGCCATGTGGGAGCTACTCCAAATGCACTGAACCACTGTACCATGGGCTGCCCCAGTACTCAGCGAGTTCCAGAATGTCCTGGCAGGGTGGCGGGCTTTGGCATTCCTCACTCTGCTGTCACAGAACAGAGGAATGAGGGCCAGCCGCGGGCCGAGGCCGTGAACTGAGGATGCTCTTACTTCTATGAGCTGCCGGGAAGTCTCGTCCACTTGATGCAGGATGGCTGGGGAGTCCTGGATGAAGCCCTTGATGGCGTCTAGGTGGTTGAAGGTAACCAGCAGCACGTCCTTGGGGCGGGGGCACAGCAGCACTTGGTATTTGAAAGCCATCGTCATCAGGTTGTACAGCTGCCGGCCCACACACAAAGGGAACGGACCGGTCACCAAGGCGGACGCCAGAGTCCGCACAGCCACCGGTCAGGCCTTCACGGGAGGCTGTCTCGGGCTTGGTGACCACACAGCTATCACCAGACCAAGACACGTCTGAGAGGGAAGGAGAGGCTGTGGACGCCTAAGCCAGGACGGCAGGAGCAGCCCAGGACATTCCCGGGCCCAGCAGGGCTCCGGCAGGTGCTGCTGATGGGGCGCACAGGAAGCGAGGCTGGAAGCTGTGGGGTCCCAGACCAGGCCCTAGGCTTGGAGGAAGACCCGAACTCAAGAACTCCTCCACTGCTGACCTGCCGTGTGACCCTGGCCAGGTTCTCTTTTGAAAAAGAT